ATTATCATTATAATTAACTTGTTAATATTATCATTATTTTTTTTTATCATTATCATTATTATTATTGTCGTTATTATCATTAGTAGTAGTCATCATTATCATCATTATTATCATTATAATTAACTTGTTAATATTATCATTATTATTATTATTATTTATCATTATCATTATCATTATTGTCGTTATTATCGTTAGTAGTAGTAGTAGTAGTATTGTCATTACCTTTATTATTATTAATAATATTATTGTTATTATTATCATTATTATTATTATTATTATTATTATTATTATTATTATTTTACTTTATCTTACTTTACCTTACTTCACCGTCATCATCAACATTGTTGCTGTTATTGTAATTAATACGATTAGTATTATGATCATTATAATCATCATCATCATCATCATCATCATTATCATTATTATTATTATTTTATTATTATTATTATTATTATTGTTTTTATTATTACTATTATTCCTTTGATATCATTTTTCTTGTTATTATTATTATTATTATTGACATTACTGTTATTGTTGTTATTATCATTATTGTTATTATTATTATTATTATTATTATTATTATTATTATTATTATTATTATCATTATCATCATCATCATCATAATTATGATAATAAAAATGATGATGATGATGATGATGATGATGATAATGGTGATTATAATGATCATAATAATAATGTTAATGATTATCATCTTTATTATCATTATTATTAATGATTATTGTTAATATAATGGTCATTTAATGGTGTTGACAATAATGATGATTATGATAATGATAATAATGATAATAATAATAATAATGATAATAATAATAATAATAACAATAATAATAATAATAATAATAATAATAATAATAATAATAATAATAATAATAATAATAATAATAATAATAATGATAATAATAATAATAATATTTATAATAATAACAAAGCAATAATGATAATAATAGTAATAGTAATGATGTTAATAATAATATGAAGAAGAATTATGGTGATAAAGATAATGATGGTGAAAGTTAATGATAATGATGATAAAAGTAATGATTATAATGATAATGACAATATTCCTAAAAAATATATATTATAAATAATGGCAACAACTACTGGAATAATGATAAAGATAAAATATTTACCTTTTATGTATGGGGCTAATAAATAAATGATAATAACGGAATAAGACATAGATAGATAATAAAGTAAATATATAAATACATTTACGTATATACATACATACTTATCTTAATGCCAATACATGTAATTGTGTTCCTGTTTCTGTGTTGTTGTTTTTTTCTTTTCTTTTTTTCTCTCTTTTTTCTTTTCGGAGTCAGAACCCCTTCTTTCTCCTTCTTTCCATTCTCATTTTCTTCCTCTCCCTTGCTTTTTTCCCCTCTCTTTTTCTCCTTTTCTTCTCTATCCCCCTTTCCTCCTTCCTCTTTTCCCCGTCCTCCTCCTCCCTATCCTCCTCTTCTACTTCCACCTTCGCTTCCTTATGCCCCTTCCTTCTCCTCTTCTTCACCACTTCTCTTTTCACCTTCTCCCTCTTCCCCCTCCTCCTCCTCCTCCTCTTCACCACTTCTTTTTTCACCTTCTCCCTCTTCCTCCTTCTTCTCCTCCTCTTCCTCCTCCTCCTCCTCTAATTCCCTCCCCCTCCAATTCAAAACTCATCCCCCGTGTCACGTTTCAGAAAGTGCACCAAAGTGAGATGATTAGTGTTGGATCCACTCCCGGGCGGGCCGAGTGAGTGCGCGCGCGTCGGATCTCAGGGTTTCAGGGTAGGTGTCGGCGGGGAAGTCATGGCGGGCAACAGAAAGGCCTGTCACCATTGTTAACTGTCGACATTGTTATTCAAATGTTAACCTCATCGACGTGGCCACAATAACGGCTTCGGGGGTTGCCCGTGGCTTCCCTATTTGCGGAAGGCTTATTTGCGGGCTAAAAAGGGGCTGTTTTGAAGAAAAAGAAAAGTCTGTTGGAAGCATCAATGTGGAGCTAACTGTGTCGGTTCGGCGCCATCTTTTCTTTTTTCCGGATCCGTCATAGCCAAAAGGAAAGAGTCTTTAGTTTACACAAAACAACGGATTTTCTTCCTCCTCCCTCAAAACAACTTCAGAGAATCCTTTAATAACCAAATCATGCTAACAAACCCAACGAACCATGTGAAAGGGGGAGGAGAGGGGAGGGGAGGAGGGAGGGCCCAGGGAGGGGAGAAGGAGGCGGGGAGAAAGACAGACCTCCTAAAAAAAAGAAAGAAAAAGAAGAGAAAAAAAAAAGACACAGACCACCCCCAAAACGCTCGAGGCTAAAATGCGGTCACAGTACATTGCCTTTGTCACTTTGCACAACCGTACTGCCAGGCGGCCCTCCCCCCTCCCCCCTCCCCATTTCTCTCCCCACAAAACCTGCTGAGCAGACTCTACTGCCTGCTGAGCTGACTGGGCGCCTGCTGTGCTGATCCCAAACCGCTGATATCATGGGAAGAAGA